CATATATACACACATATATATCCATACACACACACACTACTGTTTGTTTATTCATCCATTGATTGTTTCTGCATTTTGGCTATTTGATCTTTGCTTTCATTTCTTTTTTTTCCCCAAAGATTTATTTATTCATGTGAAAGGCAGAGACACAGAGATCTTCCATCTGCTGATTGCTCCCTGCATGGCTGCAACAACAGCTGTGGCTGGGCCTGCCTGAAGCCAAGAGGCAGGAGCTTCCTCTGAGTCTCCCACGTGGTTGCCCTTGGGCCACCTTCCCATGCTTTCCCAGGCGCATTAGCAGAGAGTGGGACTGGAAGTGAAACAGCCATAGGTGAAGACTTAACCTACTGTGCCACAGCTCTGGCCCTGTCATTTCTTTTGTTTTTATGTAAAATAAATAAGTGGAATTGGAATTATTTATCAAATAGTAATTATACGTTTAGTTTTTTAACTTCATTTTGAATTTGGTATTTCTGGTCCTTTATTTTTATGTCCCATATATTTTGTGTGTGTGAGGTGTATGGTAAAATAAATCCACAGCTCTTTTCATGTGACTGTTCTCTGTTGAAAATGGTGTGTTACTACCTAGAGGTGTGCTTGTTTGCCTATACTTGTCTTTTTAAAAATGCTGCAAGATAAGTGTGGGTTAGAATCAGCATCAGCTTCTTACTTACTTCCTACTATCAGTATTGCTTCAGGTATCTGGTAGTGATGTATAGAAAGAACCAGAAAGAATAATTTTAAGTCTCGTTCACTGCTTTTAAAAGGTTTGATTTGGTAGCTTTTTTTCCTTGTTATGTCCAAGAGAGGTAACGTGATTGGATAAAGTCGGATATGTAGCAAATGGAACCAACCATGTGTGTCTCTGAAGCTCATATTCTTTTCTGTTTTCTTCTCTTTTATTGTGAAAGAAGCCTTATTAAAGAATAGATTGCAATTATTTATAATTTTTCTATTTTTGTAAAAAAAAGTCCTATTTTAGTAGAAATTGTGTGGAATTGGCCATAGACAGATTCTAGAGAGATGAAGTTGGCATTTTTTTTTTTTTTTGGACAGTCAGAGTGGACAGAGACAGAGAGAAAGGTCTTCCTTTTCCGTTGGTTCACCCCCCAATGGCCGCTGATCCGAAGCCAGGAGCCAGGTGCTTCTTCTGGTCTCCCATGCGAGTGGAGGGCCCAAGCACTTGGGCCATCCTCCACTGCACTCCCAGGCCACAGCAGAGAGCTGGACAGGAAGAGGAGCGACCAGGACAGAATCTGGCACCCTGACCAGGACTAGAACCTGGTGTGCCGGCGCCGCAGGCAGAGGATTAGCCTATTGAGCCGTGGTGCCAGCCGAAGTTGGCATTTTTTAAGGATTTCTTTATTTATTTGAAAGTTAGAGTTAGAGAGGCAGAGGCAGAGAGAGAGAGAGGTCTTCCATCTGTTGGTTAACACCCCAAATGGGTGCAATGGCTGTAGCTGGGCCAATCCGAAGCCAGGAGCCTGGAACTTCTTCTGGTCCCCCATATAGGTGCAGGGCCCAAGGACTTGGGCCATTTTCCACTGCTTTCTCAGGTGCATTAGCAGAGAGCTGGTTTGGAAGTGGAGCAGCCGGGAGTGGAATTGGCACTTATATGGGATGTCAGTACTGCAGGCGGAGGCTTTATCCACTGCGCCACAGCACCGACCCCAGGAATTGGTATTTTGAGATAAATTTCTAAGGGAGGCTATAGTTATAAAGCTAATCACTTGATTGTCTCTCCCTCTCTTTGTGTTACTCTGTCTTTCAAATAAATAAATAAATCTATCTTGAAAAGGGGGAAAAGGGCAGGCATTGTGACAGCGGTCCAAGCCACCTCTTGGGACACTAGCATCCTGTATTAGAGCACTGGTTTGAGTCCCAGCTACTCTGCTTCTGATCCAGCTCTCTCATGTGCATGAGAAGGCAGCAGATGCTGGATCAAGTTATTGGGTCTGTGCCACTTGCTTGGGAGATCTGGATGGAGTTTTGGCCTCCCTGCTTTGGCCTGTCCCAGCCCCGTCTGTTGTGGGCACTTGGAGGAGTGAGCCAGCAGATGGAACATCTCTGTCTCCTCTCTCTTTCACTCTGCCTTTCAAGTAAATCAATAAGTAAATCTTTTTAAGAAGATGATATACATAGAAATGAAAATTCCTACTTATTGCTATAGTTTTTTTTAACAATTTATTTGGGAGGCAGAGACAGACAGGCATGTAGGCAGAGGCCTCCCATCTACTGGTTCATTCTCCAGATTCTGACAGCAGCTGGGCCAGGCCGAAGTTGGGAGCTGAGGCTCAGTCTGGGTCTTCCACGCGGGCGGTGTGGACTCGGGTACTTTGAGTCATCACCTGCTGCCTGCCGGAGTGTGTGTTAGCAGAAAGTGGAACCACTGGGACCACTCTGGGGCTTGAGCTCAGGCACTCCAGAGTGGGCTGTGGGCATCCCAAGCTGTGTCTTAACTGCTACCCCAGTGCTCTTCCTGCTCAACTTCCTTAAGTTTAAAAGCTTTGAAAGTTGTGGCCGGCGCCACGGCTCACTAGGCTAATCCTCTGCCTTGCGGCGCTGGCACACCGGGTTCTAGTCCCGGTCGGGGCGCCGGATTCTGTCCCGGTTGCCCCTCTTCCAGGCCAGCCCTCTGCTGTGGCCAGGGAGTGCAGCGGAGGATGGCCCAGGTGCTTGGGCCCTGCACCCCATGGGAGACCAGGATAAGTACCTGGCTCCTGCCATCGGATCAGCGCAGTGCGCCGGCCATTGGAGGGTGAACCAACAGCAAAGGAAGACCTTTCTCTCTGTCTCTCTCTCTCTCACTGTCCACTCTGCCTGTCAAAAATAATAATAATAATAATAATAAAGAAGAAAGTTGTGATACTTTTTTATTTAAAAAATATTTTTTGCTAGCTCCTGAAACATATTTTAGCCTTGAAGTCTTTTTCTGTAAAGTACAGATGTTAGTTAAAAAAAAAGAAATGTGATGTCCATTCATAGTTAGAGAAGAAGCGACTTCTGTAGTGATCTGAGGACCTGACCTGAATCAGATTTAGGATGTGGTCAGCACAGAGGAAGTTACTGCAAGACCGAAAGCAGAGAGATTTAAGTTTCACGTGGTGCATCGAGTCGTTTCCTTACCTTCTTGATGCTCCAGTTATTTAGCAGATATTGAGGCGCAGAGTTGTGGGGTAACAGAAACATACCGTGTAGTACAGTCGTGACAGAGGAATGGGTATAGTCCCTCTCTGTGAAGGAGGGCATGGGAGAAATCCTCAGAGAACGTAATATTCTGTCGGAATCAAGAGCCCATCATGCTGGTCAAGCCGTCAGTGAAAGAAGCCTAACGTAATGCAGAGGCCTGGCAGAGAGCGGATGGGGTGTGCGTGGTATGGGTGGAACAAGTTCTGGGAAGTAAGATGGGGACCTGGCTGTGCAGAGCCCTGTTTCTGTTTATGTCTCTTCTTTTTGTGCTGTTCTATGAATTTTTTCTTTTTCTTTTTTAAGATTTATTTATTTGAAAGGCAGAGTTTCGGAGAAGCAGAGAGAGAGAGAGAGAGAGAGAAAGAGAAAGGTTTTCCATCTGTTGGTTCGCTTTCCAGATGGCTGAGCGGCCAGAGCTTTGCTGATCCGAAGGCAGGAGCCAAGAGCTTCTTCCGGGTCTCCCACAGGGGTGCAGGGGCCCAAGGACTTGGGCCATCTTTTGCTGCTTTCCCAGTCTATAGCAGAGAGCTGGATCAGAAGTGGAGCAGCCGGGACTAGAACTGACACCCATATAGGATGCTGGCATTGCGGGCAATGGCTTTACCTGCTGCACCACAGCGCTGGCCCCTGGATTTTATTTTCTTAAACTGTAAGACCAGCTGAGTGATGTGATCAGAAATATGTTTTGGTGGGGCAGGCATGTGCTGTGGTGATTTAGTCCCTGCTTGGGACAGCCTCTCCCTGAGTGCTGGGTTCCAGTCTGGCTGTTCTACCTGTGATCCAGTTTCCTGCTGATATGCATCCTGGGAAGCAGCAGTCCCTACTTGGGAAACCCAGGTAGGGTTCTGGGCTCCTGGCTTTGGCCTGGCTCAGCCCTTAACTGTTGTTGGCATTTGGGGAGTGAACCAGCAGATGAAAGATCACCATCTGTGTCTCTGTCTCTCAAATTAAATGAAAATTGGGAAATAGAAAAGCATTTTGAAAGACTGGTTTGTCAATTATATAACCATGTGGAATATAAACTATTGTGAAGATTCTAGAGGTACGTAGATGGATTTGGAAGCACTTGCCGTTGTTCAAGTGAGAAATGAAGAATTCCTGTTGTATGATTCCATTTATATGAGACAGAAAGTAGATTAGTGGTTATCAGGAGAAGGGGAAGGGGTCTTGGGAATTGACTGCAATACATATGAGATTTATTTTGGTGATGATGAAAATGTTCTAGAATAGATAGTAGTGATGGTTGTGCATCTTTGTGGATGTACTAAAAATCACGGAATTGTGGAATTGTTTACTTTTAAATGGTGGATTTGATGGCATGTGAATTGCATCTCAATTTGTAAAGAGAGAGGAAGGAACTGAGGGAGGGAGGGAAAAGCAGACAGGACAGTGATTATAAAGGGAGCCCAGATGGATTTGAGAGAGACTCTGTGGTTGAGAACTAACTCTTCGGAGACTGAATATTGAGGTGTCCAGAATGAAATAGTGACTGGTGCTTTCGTTTCTAGTCTGTGTGAATTGATAGGGAATGCAATGCTGAGAAAAAGGCAGACTTGGAGACATTTAATGAACTGAGTGACATGTGTCGAATGTATAATCAAGGTGAACAGTGAAAGTGATGGCCCAGGTTTGGGGAGGGATTCTGGGACTAGAGAAAGAAACGAGGGTATAGAATTTGAAGGAACAGGCAAAATTACTGATGGATGACGTCTCCTTATTGGAAAGAATGTCCCGTTTTCTCCTCATCCTCAGTTTGATGTGGAAGTGTTTTGTTGTTGTTTTATGAACCTGAGTTTTATTTTACTTTCCAGGCAGAGGCAAGACTTGCAGCAAAACGGGCTGCTCGGGCCGAAGCGAGAGATATTCGCATGAGAGAACTGGAACGACAGCAGAAAGAGGTAATTAGGTGGTATGATCCTGTTTTCATGCTTGTTCTCAACAATCAGTACATGACTAGTTTATTTCTGATATGCGTCTGGTGCCCTCTGCAACACTGAGCATAGTGTAATTTTTATGTGTTTTAGTGAGCCACTCTATTTCAACAGACTAAATGTGATATTTGTTTTAAATGACAACAAAACCTCTGTAGTTCTTATGTACATTGTTAAAAATTTTCATGGTATTTTAAGTGCTTTTAAAGGGTGCTTAGGGATGACAGACTTACTCAGTATAGCCCTGTTTAGTCCTGTAATTTGGATTAATTATGAGACTTGTGTAGTAAGACATTGTGAAGTGATTCAACCTTTAAATTTTGAAGTATATTTAATATTGGAGGAAAGTATTCATTTAAGACAGTGGGAAAATCAGTCAAAACTGTAAAGCTGATTAGCATCCAATTTTGTGTCCCCTCCCCCCTGCCTGCGGAGTTAATTCTCTGTAAAAGTATTTGCTGTATATTTCAGGTACTGTGCTAGGTAGTGGAATATCAGCCAAAGTAAGATAAAACAGAAAGAAAGAAGACCTGGTTTCTGGTGAATCTAGAAAGAAAAAGGGAACTATGACAGAAAGTCCTAGTAATAATATTTTTTGAAGTTCAATTTTAAAAAGCCAGTATTATCTAAAGGGTTAAAAACCACTAGAAAGATTACTAGATAGTGATTGCATTACATACTTTGTCAGTGGGAAAATTATGGTTGATTTTATTTTCTTCTCATGCTTTTCTATAGTTTACAAATTTTAATATGCTTTTAATATCAGAAAAAATAAGAACAAATAGCATATAGAAATTAGGCAGATTAAAATGAAACAAATACTCTTTTTACCTTTTCCTTCTGACATTGACTTTGCCCTAAAAAATTTCATGTAAATATTTTTGATATTGAATTAGTATGAAGGGAAAGAAAGTATTAAATACCCTCTTTTGATGTTGATAAAGATCTATATGTATTCTGTTATCATCACAACTCAAGAAAAAATTGGTATGTTGCTAATTTTTTTTAAAACCTCATATAGTTTCAAAAACTGAATGTAATTCATGGCTTGAAATGGAAATGTGGCAATGCTTTGTCGTTTTTTATACTCCTAAAATTATATGAAATAATAAGCAGAGGGGACTTATCAAATATAATTCTGTTTATGGGCCTCTACAGAACCATGTACCTCATTATTGCACATATTTAGTAATTTTCTATATTTTGAATTCTAAGTTTGAGTCAGCTATCAGTGTTCTTTGGGAAAATGTGTATGGCTAAGGCTTTGTGGAGACTCTAGCGTGTTGGAAGCATTTTATTAATGACACTTCTGCATTTCTAGCACTCTCATCACTCCTTTGATCGGAAATGGGGGCAGATTCATAAGTGGCTGGTAGGCCAGGATTGCCTGTCTTGCATGTTGTGATCAGTTGCTAAAATAATGCAGTCTTGAAGTAAAACATTGACTAATAGTTTGCACAGTAGGAGTGTTTGGCCTGTGTCAGTCTGAAAAGGTCACAGAGTGTCTTGTTTGTCTCATCTGTAAATACATACTTGGAGTCCAACCAACCATTTTCTTTTGTGGTCAATAGCTTCACCTTTATCTCATGAATGACCTGATCAAGAAAGATTAAGTGAATGAATGTGTCTTTCCTTTTATAGATTTGTTCTTTTCTCTCTGAAATTCCTCCCTCTTTTTTAAATATGAGGTCTATAAGGTGTTCGCTGAGAGATGAACCAAGTCATTTAAAAAAAAAAAACAGATTTATTTATTAATTTGAAAGGCAGAGTTACAGTGAGACAGAGGCAGTGAGAGAGAGATCTTCCATCTGCTGGTTCACTCCCCAAATTGCTGCAACGCCTGGAGTTGAAAAGATCCGAAGCCAGGAGCCAGGAGCCTCTTCTGTGTCTTCCACATGGGTGTAGGGGCCCAAGTACTTGCCCATCTTCCACTGCTTTCCCAGGCAATAGCAGAGAGCAGCCTGGATCTTGAACCAGCACGCATATGGGATGCCGGCACTGCAGGCGACAGCTTTACCTGTTATGCCACAGAGCTGGCCCCCAAGTCATATTTTCATCTCTGAAAATTATTTTCTTCAACTCTCTCAGTTCACTGTCAGTTCCTCTACCACCACTACCAAATTTTTTAGCTACAAGAAAGTTGCAGACTGGTAGAATGTTATTGAGTCATTCCTCAATTTGAACTTTTTTCAAGATTGGTACAGTTCCCAAACTTATTATGGGAGTTCTTAAGTTGGTGTGTGACTAGGCTTGGGAGGTAGGGTATGAGCCTTAAAATCTCATGCAAACTTCGTATGCTTTTATGGGAAATGCTAATGGGTATTTTTTATCATCAGATTCTCCAAGATGAATGTGATTCCTAAAGGGTTGGGAACCACTGTCTAATTGTTGCTAACCAAGCAACTTTCATAAGCAAGTCTCTTTTGTAGCATCATTTTAAGGTGCAATCAGAATTAAAATATTCATATCAGTTATCATTGTGAGATCATTTTAGGAAAGAGAGAAAAAGAGATGTTTTGTTACTTAAAAATAAGTGACCCCTCATGTATGTGTTTGTTATCTCAATGTAGAATCTGTTCTTTTTTAGTAACTAAAGCTAACCTAATTAATCTTATTTAATGTGTCTTGTGCATGTAACTGGGTTACTGTTGTTGATGATGTATTAAGAATGTTTTTGTGTGAATGAAAGAAATTACTTAGCAAATTTCTATGGAAATATTAATTTATTTGTTCTTTTAATTATTGTAATTCTAAAATTAGATTGCCTAAGATTTTAAATTTTATTTGTTTATTTATTTGAGAAGCAGAGGAAGAAAGAGAAGGCTCCCATTCACTGGTTTGGTCACTGAATTCCTACAGTGGTTAGAGCTGGGCCACACTGAAGATGAGGTGGGAGCTCACTCCAGGTCCCCCTCATGAGTGGTGGGACCCAATACTTGAGCCATTTCTTGCTGACTCCCAAGTTGTTGATTAGAAAGAAGTTAGGATTGGGATGGCGCTAGCTCTTGAACTCAGGTACGCTGAAATGGCATGTGGCATTCCAACTGAAAACTTAACCCCTGGGCCAAATGCCTGTTCCTGCCTAGGATTTTAGTTTAAGGGTAGACCAAGAAACACGAGTTACAAGGAAATGGATACGTTGAACAAAGACCACGCAGGTAAGCAGGTGTGTGTGTGACAGGTACGCAGTTTAGGCTGCTGGGTTTGCAGGGCAGGAAAGCAGTTTACATTAGAGGCTTCAGATGCCAGTAGTGACTAACGCAGGTCCTGATTGATAGGCAGGACTTGGACATGCAGAGAAAGCGGGGGTTGACTTCAGTTATGAGGATGAGGGCTTTAAACCTTTTCTGCAGCTGCCTTTTTTTCCCCTTTCAAATGGATTCTTTTTCTAACTTACTTTTGTTTCTCTGGCTGCTTTGTCTGAGGGCCCATAGCAGCAGTTGGCATGTGATAGTCACTACATAAAATATAAATGACTAATAAGTTTATAGTAAAATATGGATACACACAATAGGACTATTACTAGTCCCTGATCTTACTTTTGTGTGTGAAGTGGGTTTTTGGGATGTGACGAAGGAATGCAAGTGCATGGAACTCAGGAATGGAGCTCACTTGGAGTGTGTACTGTATGCCAGCACTGTGCTGGGGCTTTCATGTGGATTTCATTTCACATTATAAGACAGGCTTCTGTCTTCGTTGGGTAGGTAAGAAGACAAGGGATTGGTGAAGTAAGTGGCTTGCTTGGTCATGGACAGAGCCAGAACTTGAAGTTATAGCAGGGTACCCCAGCTGCTGGTGGGTCAGGAAGTGAAACAAACGAGAACAGAATTGCCCAAGTCTTCCTGGGGCTCCTCTGCCTTGGCCAGCATTCCATGAACCTAATGATCCTGGTTTTAAATGGGGTATCTGAATGAGTAGCATATTGATGTGTGTCTCAGAGCACATGCGTGTGTGGAAGAGTGAATGCAGTTTCTCCAGCCCCAATTTAGTAAATATTTGTTGGCAGAGATGACGACTAGGTGTATTCGTAGGGTTTTGGTTTTCTTTGTTCTTTCTTTTTTAAAGATTTATTTAGTGTTCACTTTGGCAGCACATATACTGAAAATTGGAAGATTGATTTGTTTATTTGAAAGAGTTACAGAGAAAGAGAGGTCTTCCATCCTCTGGTTCACTTCCCAAATGGCCACAATGGCTGGGGCTGGACTAGGCTGAAGCCAGGAGCCAGGAGCTTCTTCACAGTCTCCCACGTGGGTGGCAGGCGCCCACACACTTGGGCCATCTTCTGCTGCTTTTCCCAGGCCAGTGCCAGGGAGCTGGATCAGAGTGGAGCAGCTGGCACTCAAACCAGTGTCCGCATGGGTTGTTGGCGTCAAAGGCAGCAGCTTCACCTGCTCTTGCCACAGTGGTGACTCCTGTGGTTTCCTTTTACTAAAACACTTCATCCTCACTTCAGTGAACTTTCATAAAGAGAGTATATTCCATTAAATAAATATATCAAAATGTAATTTTCTAGAAAGTTTGAAGCAAATACACATCTATTTTTTAAAGCTTTATCCTGTTCATTCAGTTTTTTTAAAAGATTCATTTATATATTTATTTATCTGAAAGGCAGAGTTAGAGAGACAGGAGGGGCGTTAGAGAGAGATCTTTGATCTGCTAGTTCACGCCCCAAATGGCTGCAACAGCCAGGGCTGGGCCAGATCAAAGCCAGGAACCTTGAACTTCTTCCAGGTCTCGTACTTGGGTGTAAGGGCCCAAGCAGTTGGGCCATTTTCCACTGCTTTCCCAAGTGCGTTAGTTGGGAGCTAGATCAGAATTGCAGCAGCCAAGTCTCAAACGGGTCTCCATGTGGATGCCAGCCTCGCAGGTGGAGGCTTACCCTGCTGTGCCACATGCTGGTCCTTCATTCAGTCTTGGGTTCTGTAGTACTGTTAAGGTCTCTCAGGATAATGACAGTGTATTTTTTTTTTTAGATTTATTTTATTTATTTGAAAGAGTTAGAGAGAGAGGTAGAGACAGAGAGAGAGGTCTTCCATCTGCTGATTCACTCTCCAGATGGCCGCAATGGCCAGAGCTGCACCGATCCGAAGCCAGGAGCCAGGAGCCTCCTCCAGATCTCCCACATGGGTGCAGGGGCCCAAGGACTTGGGCCATCTTCTCTTGTTATCCCAGGCCACAACAGAGAGCTAGATCGGAAGAATAGTTGGGATAGAACCAGTGCCCATATGGGATGCCAGCGCTTCAGGCCAGGCCTTTAACCCCTGCTGCGTCACAGTGCCTGCCCAACAGTGTATTGTTTCCCTGACCATGGAAGAGAGTTATACTCTGCCTTGTCATTGGTACCTAACTGTCGCTCCTCCTCTTCGTGGAGGAACGACACAGGACCCTGCGCTGTTCTTTCGTCTGCTCGGCCCTCCCCGGGTTTGCTGCTGGTTCTTCCCGGGTTGGCTACTGTCCCTTCCACCTCCGTGGAAGGGCGGTTCCCCCTGGCCACTTTCCCCACTTCTGCAGGGGAGCGGCACTCCGCCGGCCGGCTCTCTCGGGGGCTGCACAGGTATTCCCTCAGATGTTCCCCTTAGATGTTCCTGGTGCATGCTGTCTCTCTCCTCCTTTATAGTCCTCCTCTGCCAATCCCAACTCGGCTGCCCACACGCCGAGTATGCTGCTCTCCTCCAATCAGGAGCAAGTCCTACAGTTTATTGGCTGAACTGGAGGCAGCTGTGTAGAAGCTGTTTTCTTCTCTCCCAGCGCCATATTGTGGGAGAGCAGATGCATAGAACAAGTCTTAATTCCAGTAACTCAGTCTAGTCCGAGTTGCTCCCCACAGATCCCCCTTTCTTTTTATTTTTTGGCGTTGATACGCGCCTGTCTTCGGTGTCCCGCGGCACACACTCTGCTCTACTTGCTAGAGTTGCCACAGGTTCTTACAAGTCCTATCAATCAGGCATACCGAATCCGGGTCCTCTCTTCGCCATGTTGTGAGGAGGTTTTTAGGCGCTGATGCGTGCCTGTGTTCGGTGACCTGCAGCTCATACTCTGGTCGAGCCGCCTGCTGGTGCTTACCGCCTTGCTAATCAGGCAGACCGAATCCAAGCCTTCTCATTGCCATATTGTGGGGAGGCCTATTGGTGTTGATTTGTGCCTATCTTCGGTGACCTGCAGCTCATACTCTGGTCGAGCTGCCTGCTGGTGCTTACCGCCTTACTAATCAGGCAGACCGAATCCAAGCCCTCTCATTGCGGTATTGTGGGGAAACTATTGATGTTAATAACGTGCCTGTCTTTGGTGACCTGCGGCGCATAAGCTGCTAGCCGCCCGCAGGTGCTCATCGCCTCACTAATCAGGCAGACCGAATCCAAGCTCTCTCATTGC